CACTAAGGCAGATTAATGAGATCCCGTTGAACCCCAATTTTAAAGATTTGTCCCATCTTTTTGGCTTGTTTGTTTCTATGAGTGTGAATCGGTTAATGAATTAACTAAGACAAATCCCCTAGGGCCATCTGACTTTGCAGCTTTTTATTTTTATTTTTTTATTTTTTTAATATGACTTGGCATCTGACATGGACAAAAATTGGAGGGGTCAGCTGCCATAGTGTAAGGCCGTTAGGGTTAGGGCAAATTTGAAGAGTTTGTTAAAGGGGCGATAATAGACGAAAAGTATAAGAGGAGACAAATATAAATAAAATACAATAGTAGAGGGACAAATTTGGACCTTTTCCCTTTTAAAAATAGGGCACATGTTAAAAGGTGGCACAAATATAGGGTACGACTGCAAATCCCCCTCCAGCGTAGGGTTTGGCTTAGCATAATATAATTTATAAGGGTGAAAATCATTTACAGCCCCTAATTTTTCTATAAAAATCAAACACCCCGTCAACTTTAAACAATAGTCATTTTTCCTCATTTACCCTGCAACATGCCTATTTTGCCCTTGAATTTTCAATTCTCTCCTCTATATAATACTTTGTTATTCTATGATATTTTTTATGGTTTTATCTTTAATTTAAATTATGTTATACCTTATAATAAATAAATGCTAAAATATAAATTTAGAAATTATTTCATTAATGGTAATCAAAATCCAAAAATATATACCTACAATAGAGAATAAGAGAGAAAATTAATGGGCGGGGGAGGTAGGAGGATTCAATTGAATCCTCTCGCTAGAAAATTAGACTGCGTAAATAGGACAAAAGTAAACTTTTTAGTTGTATATAAAATTTTGAATCCCTTTGACATAAGAAGATGATATTAAAGTGGTATAGAGATTTAGAAATTATCTTAGGTTACATGCCCAAATCTTAAATATGATATTTTATGGGTTTTTTCAATCCTCTTATATGAATTTCTGGCTCCACCACTAAAAAAATATAATTTATATATATAGTTAATATGCATTTCATTAAAATAACAATCATAAAGATAACAGTAAATTTATAACATTTGTAAAAAGATTATTCTACTTATAATTTTGATGAACTTAAATTACAATTTATAATAAGTATAATATAATTTAAATTATAGCTAAAATCATAAAAGAATATTATATAATAAAAAAGTATTACATAGAGGAGGAAATAAAAGATTCAAGGGCAAAAAATATTGTGTAGGATAAAAGGGGGAGAATAACTATTATTCAAAATTGAGGGAGGAGTTTGATTTTTAACTAAAATTTGGGGAGGGTAAATGATTTTCACCCAATTTATAACCTAAGTAATTACCTATTTTCCCCATCGTCTCTTTTTAGCCTCATACGTAAATATTTTGGCGAGGAAGAGAGAGGGAACGGCAATGGAGGACGACGTGGAGATGGCGGCCGCCGATAACAGAGCAGCCGTGGTTCTTTCCTGCTCCTCTTTCTCTTTGTTAATTTCGCCTTCAATTTTTTTCCAGCCCTCGTTTACCGTTTTTGTTTGGGATTACTGAAACCCTAATTGTTGGTAATTGAATTGATGTTAAAAGAAAATGTAATTAAACAGGAAATGGATGAGATGAAGAAGAGGTTGAAGGAGATGGAGGACGAATCTGCTGCTCTACTTGAAATGCAAGCCAAAGTTGAGAAAGAAATGGGTTCCGTTCAAGGTCTCTCTCCCTTTAATTAATTATTGCTTAAATAAATAAATAACTAGACAACTTTAATTTGCCTTAAAAATTCGAATCACGTGTCACTATTGGAATGAATAGGTCTCGAATAGAGCGAAATATACAGAGGATATGTTGCTGACACGAGCAAGTTTGGGATTGGGGTGTAATAGAATGATATTAGTAAATAAATAGATGGCTTTTTATGTTAATTCGTTGAAATAGACATCCTTGCGTGCTTGTTTATATGTAACTTTTGGCATTCATAACGTGACTATGTCACATTGTTAGTTTATTGATATGCATAATGATGAGTAAATAGTTGTGGTAGATTTAGTTGGACTTCGAATGTGCTACAAGTAGCAACTAGCTTTATGTCTATAAGTAGTCAAATTATATGGTTAGGTTAGATGTTTTGATGTATCTGTTGGTTAGTGGGTATGTGCTTGTGTCCTTTCCCTTGATTCTGCTGGTTGCAGAACAATTTTTTTTATAGAATCCTTATTAGATTTGTGTCAAATCAATATTGGTTACTTTCTGGCTAGCTCAGTCCTACTATGACTGTACAGATTAGGAGAAGTTGTAGAAGGAACCAATCTTTTGGCTCTTGCCGTGGTGTGAGAAAGAAGAGGTGTAGTAGGAGAGAGATTCATTCAGTGAAAGAAAGAAAGGCTAAAGCAGAAAAGGAACCAAATTTTAGAGAGGTGGATAAATAAAGAAGAAGCTAAGCACCCAAGAGTTTGGCCTAGTAATCGCTGAGAACCATGAGGTATTTGATTTAAATCCCAGCGGAGGCAAAAGTAGTCGGTTATTTATTCCCATCTGCATCTGTGCTAGCCTTGGTGGACAGAGTTACCCAGTACCTTTGTTGATGGTAGGTAGTAGATACCTCATGAAATTAGTTGAGGTACGCGCAAGCTGGCCCGGACACCACGGGTATATAAAAAAAACTAAAGGAAGAGGAGAACTCAGGGATCACCTTAAATCAATTTGAGCTAAGTGACCTAGACATGGAGATTACAAAGATAATCTTTTGGTCTTTTGAGATGTTAACTGATGATGAGAGTTTGGATTGAAGAAGTATTTTGTTTTTGTCATTAGGTTTGCTTTTTCTCTGATAATTTGTTTGATGAATACTTTTTAATTTGAGTTGGACAAGTTTAAAATACCTGTCTCTTTGTTAACAGTTTGAACCTAGAAGTCTAGAACCAATAACTTTTCCTACGATAGCCGTTGTTTTATCCCGTATATTTGTCTTACAGTCTTAAGGGTTCTAGTTGCGGTAGCACTATGGTGAGAATGTGGAATAATAGTGGTTAAATTCTATTGTCTGATACCTAGTTCTCAGTAATAATCACTGAAGAAAGCATCAAAAGGCGCTAAAATCCTTTTCTATTCATGTTTTGCTTTGTGATAAGGTTTATCCATGTGTTGCTTTTATTTATAGATTTTTTCCTTTAATTGAAACCAGACCCTGCTGCTGCTGCTGCTACTCAAGCGAACAGGGAAGAAGTGGATGGTCGATCTGTCTTTGTTGGCAATGTGAGGCTTCTGTTCTTAAAAAAATTCATGGTCTGTTCATTAAAGATTATCTTAAAGTAGCTTTTGCCACTCGGGACACCTGCTTAACTCTCATATCAGTTGGTTTTTCTTTTGTTCAATTGGTTGCGCATCTTGAGCTCTACTTGGTGATATAAAAATAGTACTAGCATTTTTGAGTTTAATTTGAAATAATCATTTAGTTGTTCTCTTTGAAAAAAATGGCTATGACTATTATTCATGTGTGCATTTTCTGGCATGCATTAAGTGGCATGTGTGTGTCACATTGTAGTTTGTAAAAGTGGAGGCATTTCACACCATATATTTTGGAAGGGCAATATGGGAGCACAAAACAAAAATAACATCCCAAATGAAATTATTAAAGAAGGGAGACTGGAGAGTATATTCTAAGAAATAAGTATTTTGAAAGCTAAGCACTATTGCCCCCAGGGCCTAGCTCAAGTGGCAAAGGGTGGTGGATTTGTGTCTTAGGTCACAAGTTCAAGCCCCCACACCATGCAAAGCAAAGCCCGGTATTTAAGTGGAGAAGGGTAGAGGGGCGGGCCCATTATCCACCGAGTTTCGAAGGCTGCGGTTGGTCCAAAGGATCGGCCCCAGACCGATTTCTCGGTCATCAAAAAAAAAAAAAAAGCTAAGCACTATTGACTTTATACAAGATTGGCCATACAGAGTCAAGAGTATGAAACTAGTTGGGATGACTCTCAAATGGTAGATTGGTTCCCATTGTTGATGGAGGGATTGGAAAACCCTTGCGTGAACTTTTTCAAAAAAAAAAAAACTTGCTGTGGAACAGTGAAAATCGTCGGAAAAGAACTGCGCTTCACCGGACTAGGGTTCCTGCTATTGGATAAAACTGGAACGTGAATTGAGATTGGGTCAACTCCGATGAACAAAAAGATGTCGTGGAAGGGTAGTTGGAAAGGATCACTTGCTCTAGGTTGCCAGTCAACTTAGCTTTGCTAAACTAGAGGGGATTACTAAGTAATTCACCCTGAATACGATGATATTAACCTCCATGTCTGCTGCTTTCAGTTAACAGTATCCAAGACAAGGAGACGTTGGATGGTTTTGGACTTTGATACTCCTGGTTATTAGTTTCTGGGAGCAAGAGTCATTATCGTATTGATGTTAAGGAATGTTAGTTGACTCTGGTTGGAAAGCACCCATAATTATGTTGAAGCCACTGTTCACGGGAAAAAGCATGGAGAAGGAATTGTCTGATATAGCACTTGATTGCTTATTAGGTAGTCATTAAGGTTAAGGATTCATGTTTACATGGTGAACAAACAATATGATGATTGTCCTTTCCTTGATGTGCATGATGGTGTGGTTACATTGTAAACTAATAAGAGGATGTTTGTTATCATTTCCTTGACGTGTATGGTGGTGGTGTTGCAACTTACCTTGGTGTGATTTACTAAGCCTCAGCTAAGCTTACACTTGGATTTTCTTATTGCCTTCTTGAATTTTGGGTACTGTCTGAAGTCAGTCATATCTTTGTTTTGTTCATCTGGTCTGAGAGGCTGAAGTTGTTCTGTAGGTGGATTATTCATGCACTCCAGAAGAAGTGCAACAGCATTTTCAGGCATGTGGCACAGTTAACAGAGTAACTATCCGGACTAACAAATTTGGGCAACCGAAAGGATATGCCTATGTTGAGTTTCTCGAAGCGGAAGCTGTTCAAGAGGCTCTTCTTCTGAATGAATCTGAACTTCATGGCCGCCAAATTAAGGTCAATTCTTTGTCCTAGATCCACTTTGTTCATATTTGTGCTAATACCTTTGGATATAAAACATTTTATTTGTTTTTCCTCTATCATTTCTCATTTGTCTGGCCCTTCCTTAACCTCTCCTGTGATTGCAAATGCTGTGTTGATAGGTATCAGCAAAGCGAACTAATGTTCCTGGTATGAAGCAGTTTCGTGCAAGGCGTCCAAACCCGTATATGGGATTTCGCGGCCAAACACCTTTCATGCCTGCTCCTTATTTTTATTCTCCTTATGGATATGGGTATGGTTAATTCTCTTCTACGCTTGAAGTGCACTTTGTTTGCTACTCCTATCAGTTAATTTACTTGATTAAATTAGTGAGGCAACTTCATTATCTTCCCTGCAGGAAGGTTCCTAGGGCTAGGGCACCCATGCGTTATAGCCCCTACTTTTGAGATGTTGCCTTTCTGGAGACATACGTACCGCTGGAATGGAATAGATAAACATCTCATTAAAAGTAGTAGCGACTTACCACATGTATGGCTAATTGCCTTTGCAGATCCTATTTATCATGAAATCATGCTGTTAGAGGCCTTTGTGGCAGAGTTTGTAATCATTAATTCGATTATTGTGTCCTCGAGAGCTCTATTACATAGAGGTTTTAAATTTTTAATGTCAAATTTGTTGCAGTTGAATGCGGAACCAACATTGCTATCTCCCCTGGGGGACCAAAAAGAAGGGGAAAAAACTGTTTCTTGTATTATTTTGCGGTCTCTATGTTGGCTGAAAGGCCGAGCAATATTCTTATTCCAAAAAGGTTCAGTTGTCTCTGGTGCATGTATGTGGGTTTTGAGACAGAAAGGGCAAAGAGGCAACTTAGTGGAGGATACGAGGATTGCCTAGATTGCTTTCCAGGCAGAGTTGGAACTGATTACGGGTTAGAGTCTTAAATGATATTTAATCCACGTTGGGTCTCTACTAGCCATCGTTCTTGTGGACTGCTGTTTTCTTTTTCATAAATTCCTGAGAAGTCTGATTTATTAATAAACAGCCGTGCAACTAATAAAATGGATTAATTTTCTCACTTAACTTGCTTCAACAGTAAACTTTTGATTTTGTGCAGTCTTTTACTCATTACCTCCATGCTATTTTAAATGTGTTTGCTCACTGTTCGTTATTTCTGCTTTCTTCGTTTTAAAAATATCTCCAATCTTTTTATATGAGTTTTTTTCCTAGTACGTAAATGGGTGCAGCGGATCCTCCTCCTCCTTGATCAACTTTATAACAATAACAAACTCGGTATAATTTACAAATTTCTCAAGATATAGGCGTGCTAAATGTCCAAATGCATGTAAGGTTGAATAAATGGAGCACATGCAAGAAGTTATTACATACGCACACGTCAAGAAGAAAAAAACAAGCAAGACAAAAGACCAACGGGCCACGTAAATTATGTAAAGTGAAAAGTGCAGCTGTACCATACAAATCCGGGTCTCTCTATTGCTCTGTTCTCTCTCTCTCTCTCTCTCTCTCTTTCTCGGCACAACAATGGCTCTGACAGCCGCCACCAGCAGCAGCAGCGGCAGAGGTGGCTCAGCTCTCCCCAATTCATGCCTTCAAACCCCAAAGCTTTCACCTTTACAAAAACCGACCTTCATCTCTTCCTTCCTCACCACCACAGCCACCCCTTCAAACTCCAAAATCAAGCCAAGAATTAACAAACCAATCTCAGCCGTTCAATCTCCACCTTCAACAAGAACAAAAACTGCTCAAAACCCAGATGGAAAATGGAGTCTTGAAAGCTGGAAATCAAAACCAGCTTTCCAGCTCCCTGAGTACCCTGATAAGGTGGAGCTGGAGTCTGTTCTTAAGACCCTTTCAACTTATCCTCCAATTGTATTTGCTGGGGAAGCTAGGAATCTTGAAGAGAAATTGGGTGAAGCTGCTCTTGGAAATGCTTTCTTGTTGCAAGGGGGTGATTGTGCTGAGAGTTTTAAGGAGTTTAGTGCTAATAACATTAGGGACACTTTTAGAGTCATATTGCAGATGGGAGTTGTGCTTATGTTTGGTGGTCAAATGCCTGTTATCAAGGTGATTTTCTCTCAAATTTCTTAGTCGCTAGAGGAACCTGGCCTATAAATTCTTTTGTTGTTATGATTACATACATAAATAGTGTTACTATAAGTCGCAACTTTTATAAGTAACAATATTTTAAAAATGTATTGAAAAACCAATGTTAAAGAAACATGTTTGACTCACCAAATTGTAATAGTGCAATATAAAATGGAATCGTGGGAGTAATACTTTTGGTGGTTTGCGTAATCACATGGCATACTGGATTTTGTTACGTAGGTGGAATTTGTCTATGATTACATATACAGAACTTGGTCTTCAATTGTTCTTGCCTTTCAGGTGGTTTAGCTGCCTTTCAAATGTTCTTGCCTTTCAGGTGGTTTAGTAATATTGTTATGTCTTTACGCGAATTGACCCTACAATGCTTAAATTTAAGTTTAATCATAGCATCTGTTAAGTGAAATCTACATTTCTTTTGATTGCTGTGAGAAAGCGTTGGATGGTTGACCTGATAGAAAAGATAGATGAGGATGCACTTGAAAGATGACAAATGAAGGTTGTTGCTTTATAATGTAAGTGATTGTTCGACTTATTCTTATTTGCTGCTTAGGCAATACAATGGTTGTACTTTACTCTGCTTTGCTCCATAGGGCTTGGGTTTCACTTACAGTTAAGAAGACCTCGTTTAACATTAAAGTATCCAAAATAGACATGCATATTCAGCAGATAAATTAACAAAAGGATCTAGAAGTTGAGAAGCAGGAGCTATGTCTTTACTTTAGCAGTTTATGTGATTGTGATAAAGGACTTACTTTATATAGTTGATTGATTCTGTAAACTGTGGGTGAAGGTCTGGTTAATTCATACTTGTACTTTACTGGTTAGGTGGGTAGAATGGCAGGTCAATTTGCGAAGCCAAGATCTGATCCGTTTGAAGAGAAGGATGGCGTGAAGCTGCCAAGTTACAGGGGAGACAATGTGAATGGTGACGCTTTTGATGAGAAATCAAGACTTCCTGACCCCCATAGGATGATTAGGGCATACGCTCAATCTGTAGCTACCTTGAACCTCCTCCGAGCGTTTGCTACAGGGGGTTATGCTGCCATGCAGAGGGTTAACCAGTGGAACCTCGACTTTACTGATCACAGCGAGCAAGGTGACAGGTATGCCTTCTGCTACGTTTGTTTAGTTGCTTATCGGAAAGAATTGTTAGTTTATTCTTATTTATCAAGAAAATGCTTGTCTATTTTTGGTTTCGTAGTCATGTAGATCTTTCTATAGTAACTTCATGATTGGCAATCTAGTGACTAATGCCCTTCACACAGGTACCGCGAACTGGCTCACCGAGTAGACGAAGCCATGGGCTTCATGAGTGCTGCTGGGATTACAGTTGACCACCCAATCATGACTACAACAGACTTCTGGACATCCCACGAGTGCCTTCTCTTGCCTTATGAACAAGCACTTACGAGGGAGGATTCAACTTCTGGCGTTTATTATGACTGCTCCGCTCATATGATTTGGGTTGGGGAACGAACAAGGCAATTGGATGGTGCTCATGTTGAGTTCCTGAGAGGAATTGCCAATCCACTTGGTATCAAGGTACAGTGCACTTCTTTTGCTGCACTTTGATTTTCTTAGAAGAAAGGGGTACTATGGTAGGTATGCTAATTGTGAAGGGCTGTAAGGAATATCATCTGCATTTGAAATGAAACTGAAAGGGAAAGATAGAATTGAAAGGGAAAGGTGGAATTGATTTACCATCCACATGCTGAGATTCAACTTTTAACCTGTGATTAGTGGTAAAAAGTTTAGAATGTTTGAAAACTGGTTAGCAAAAAGAAAAAACAAAGATTAGGAACTAATATTTTCCTAAGTTTTAGGTCCAAGAAAGATACTCCTTCCGTCTTGTTTTATATGAAGTGTTTGAGTAGAGATGGAGTTTAAGATATTAATTTAACTTATATATTGTAAAAGAGGTAGTGGTAAGCTATATTAGACAAGAAAACATCATATGAAAGTTAAAAATTAGAATAATACATGAATTTGAATTCTTGAAATTTTTATCAATGACGTTATTAAAAGAATTGTGACAAACATTTGAGATGTCCCAAAAAGTAAACTGAGTCTTATAAATTGGGAGGGAGAGTGTTCATACTGACCAGAGTTCAAATGTCAAATACAATGTACAAATATGGTATCCAACTTTTGTTTAGTATCCACCTTTTAAGCTCCCTTAGTTTCCACGATTTTAACTAGCTTGGATTTGTGACAGTTGGTTGACTGATTGATTCACATGCATGCTACATAAGCTACCTTTGTTTCCACAATGCAGGTGAGTCAGAAAATGGATCCAGATGAACTAGTCAAGCTTATTGACATTCTTAACCCTCAAAATAGACCAGGAAGAATTACAGTGATCGCTCGGATGGGAGCTGATAATATGAGAGTAAAGCTTCCCCATCTGATCAGGGCTGTTCGTGGAGCAGGTCAAATTGTCACTTGGGTCAGTGATCCTATGCATGGAAATACCACCAAAGCCCCCTGTGGACTCAAAACGCGTTCATTTGACTCTATCCGGGTATGCTGCTACTCTACCTATTTGTCTAATACTTGTATTAGAAGTTGCTTTATGCTCTCACGGTTGGGAATTCTGCTGTATTTTCTCAAAAGGTTTATCTGCCACCGTGGCAATAGAAAATAAAGTATTTTGAAACTCGTTCAGTATCCAAGAACCATAGAAGATTGAGTCCCACTAATGACTCATGAGAAGTTTGTTGGTCGCATGCTCTCGTATCTACATTTTGAAGTAGTACAAAGGCAAGAAATTAATTGATAATAAGATCTAATGAACCTTTACTAATTTAGGAAATTTGGTGACCTTATGCTGTTTATACCTGGCGAGTAGATACTCAAACCGTGTAACCCGAGTAACAACGTTAATGGTGATTTATTTCATTAAGGTCTCTTGGTGCTTGCTTGTTTCTACACATTTAACAATCAAGTTTGACTTCTAATACTGCTTTTTTTTACCCTTTTCTCCAGCTAAGTCTCACTTGTACACTATCCTAGTGATTTTCTTTTCGTCCACAGCTTATATATTGCGATTGCATGTATCTGTGTAGGCTGAGCTAAGAGCATTCTTTGATGTACACGATCAAGAAGGGAGCTATCCGGGTGGCGTGCATCTGGAGATGACAGGTCAGAATGTAACGGAGTGCGTGGGAGGCTCTCAGACAATTACTTACAATGATCTAAGCTCGCGCTACCATACACATTGTGACCCAAGACTTAATGCTTCTCAAGCACTTGAACTTGCCTTTCTTATTGCCGAGCGCCTCAGGAAAAGAAGACTGGGACCAAAGTTCAGGCACTAGAACTCATCTTGTTTGTTTGTGTCAAGGTATATTTAAGTGTAATATGGCAAAGATCCAATAGTGAGTCTGAAAACAATGGAAAGGCCATTAGATTAGAACCTCCAGTTGTGGAAAAGCTGTTAGTATATCTATGAGGTAACTTCTTCATAAGTGAAGTGAGGTACTTCTTTTGGTTTGAATAGTGGGGCGCTCTACTCATTCAAGTGGCCCTTTTTCACCCATCCCCTCTCGTTTTATTCTTTTAAAGCATTATTTTCTTAAAAGTATGTAGCCATTACTCTAAATTTAGTTTCAAAAAAATAAATAAAAGTAAAGCATACTTTTTGACGTGATGTCTTAAAAGGTTCTACCCACTCAATCAATGTATAAATAAATA